GAGATTCAAACTGCCCAGACAGGAAAAGGAATTCAAATTTTCCCGGGGCTTTTCCTGAGGGCTGGTCAGAGCATCTGAGCTCTGACTGCTGTCCAGAGCGTCAACAGAGTGGTGCACTGTGGGATAGCTCCCGGAGCTATTAGCGTCGATTTCCATCCACACCTACCCTAATTCGACATGGCCATGTCCCATACTCCCGCTCGTTGGGGAGGAGTACAGAAATCGAATTTAAGAGACCTCTATGTCGAACTAAATAGCTTCGTTGTGTGGACGGGTGCAGGGTTAATTTGATTTAACGCGGCTAAATTCGACATAACCTCCTAGTGTAGACCAGGCCTAAGTCTGGTTGTGGTATTTTGAGAGTAAGCCCAAGCCTTCCTTCTCTGCCCTTAAGAATGGGTACAAAGGTTTTGAGCAATCAACCTTTTCTCTCCACAGACTTTTTTTTTTTGTGGGGTAGAATCGATGGTTTTCTTTTCATTCTAGTGGAAAGTCATCTCTGAATAATAAGTCTTTTTTCTCTTGAGGGAAGGTGCTCATGTCATTTTCCTGGCTACTGATTCACAAATAATAAATTAGCTGGCAATGTGAATGTAATTTTGCCTTTACTTCCTCATAGTTTTATCTTCCATGTATAAATGTCATTCTTTTGATGTAGAAGCTTGGTATTCTTCATCTACTGTAAGAGAGGTAACAGACAACTGATTCAAAAGTTTAATTTTTTATAGGTATCTTTTCAATGATGCTGAAGTAAAACCATTTGATTCTGCTCAGCTTGCTTCTGAATGTTTTGGTGGAGAAATGACTGTAAGTTGTAGCCTTTACCTCTAGTCTCTCCCTCCTCCTTCCCCCTTTTATTTTTTTGTATTTATTTTTTTATTATAATCTCAGAAGGTAGTACTGGACAATAGCCCTGCCCTGAGGACTCTGTCACATGGGTTCTATAGTGCTCTGCCCTGCCCTGCCCTGATATCCCTCCAGTTCAACATGTATATGAAGCTGCTAAGGGAGTTTAATTGAGACACTTGTTGTGGTAGGGACAAGGAGACTGCGCAGCCTGAGTCTGTTTATTTTCAGGCCATGATGCAAAGTCTATTTGGTTGCCCAAACTTTCCCTGAGAGAGAGTGGGTTGCCTGGAGTATAAGGGGAAAGTTCTTTTGGTGAATTGGGAATTTTTGTGTGTGGAATGCAGAGCCAAATTAGTTTTTTGTATGTGTTTTTTAAAAAAAGAAATAGCTATAAATTAACTTTATAAATACAAGTTCGTTTTGCCCAAATAAACAGTTGCATAGTGATTGATATCCTTTATAATTTGTGTATATTGTTATTCACATTACATTAGTTTCCTGATCTGTAAAATAGTGATAACTTTTTTTTAAGCATTTGAGATCCTTGACTGAAAAGCACTTAATAAGTATAAAACATATTAATATTAATGCTTCAGGAACCACCAGTAGCTGCCAGAGAATGTAGTTCTTCAGACTACTGTCCGGAAAGAATTGGCAAATCAGGCACTAAACAAATGTTTTTAATGTTTTGTATTCAGACCTATGCCTTTTATAGTTTTTCTTTTGGTCAGAGAAAGGAGTTTCATGGATTTAAAATAAATATTAAAAGCAAATTACTGTACAAGACTGTACCAGCTTCTTGCTTTGGCTTTTGAATCTGCCGTATGGATTTGCCTTTTGTCAGCAGTGTGAATATTTTTACACATCTTTAGTACGAAGCACTGTTAAACCAATTGCAAACATTCACAGTGTGTAAAAACCTACGACCGTGTGCTTTCCTGATTTGCATGCTTAATAACAGCTTATTACAACAATTCTATGAACAAGCTAAAGAATTCCACCTGGTAAAGTTGCTATGCCAAAGTACAACACAAAATTGATTCCGTGCAGAAGATCTGCAAAACATCTGCAGACTCCAAAAACAGAGGATATGGTCTGGAGAAATATGAGAGAAGTCAGAGTCAAAGTACTGCATATGCAACCCTGGAAAATGAAAGTAAGCTACTACAGAAAACTTAAAATTATTTAATGATGAGCAAGGAATATAATTGATGGCAGACCCTGCATGGAGGGCATAAAGTGGAGTTACTTCCTTGCATACTGAGACCAGAACCATCTGCAACGAGGCCATAACAACAAGTTTGTGATGAATATTTTCAGTAACCCATGTTCTCTTTTTGACAGACCAAGACATATGATTCTGTCACTGATAAATTTATGGATTTCTCCTTTGAAAAGGTACCCTTTTCCCTTTTCATTTGCTAAATAAATATATTTTTAAATTTATGACCTAAGTAATCTCTCTGAAGAGCAAAAATTATACAGATTTTTCTTTTCCTTAAAGACACATAGTGCGTACATGCTGTTTTATAAACGGATGGAACCAGAGGAGGAAAATGGCAAAGACTACAAGTTTGATGTTTCATCAGAGTTGCTGGAGGTACTACTTGGTTTGCTTTAACACCAATGTAAAAATATAGTAAGAAATCTTATCCAAATCAGTGGGATCTGAGTAAATATAGAAAATGAAATTTGATTTTAAATATTAAGATAATTGAAAGGCTTGCCATCTTTCATAGAACATTTTGTAATATAACATCACTCTTTACATTGCTAAAATTAACATTGTGTCAATGTTTCCATTATATTCCACTACTTTCCAGAGTTTGTAACCCAGCAGTAAAAATTAACTAAAACTTGGTATCATAACCTTAAAAAAAAAAAGGGGGGGGGGGGGAAGGTTGTATTTTTTGTAAGTTCCATTTTATTTAAATAAAAAATAGCAATGCTGGCAACAGTACAAAAAGTTTAAAATGGATATTAAATTATATAAAGTACTGAAATTCGCTGGTATTTCTAAAGTGAAAAGAATATGTAATTGAGAGCTGGCAGCATAATCATCAGAGAAAGCACAATAAAGAAGATGGTCCATTATACGTATAAGGCATAACACAGACTAGGTTGTGCAGTTGTTGTGACATAATTTAGCTGAATGTCTTGTTCTGTAGTAAGGCCTCAGGCCAAAAATCAACTGTCACTAGCACACCAGAAGTGCAGTTGTATCACAACACACTATTTGAAATAGTCATGACTTGGGCTGGAGATGTACTCCAAACAGGAAAGAGTTTGGTTTATTTCAAACAAACCCCAAACTCCATTTCTGTTCTATTGTACTTACAAGTGGGCTGCAAGAAAAATAGTTAAACATTTATAATAAATGATTTCTATGAGATGAGAAAATCTTTCACTTGAGCTAATATGCTTCAGAGATCTTAAACAGAACGGTTTGTGTAAAACAGGCTATAGTATCTGAGAGCCTTCTATATCCTGTCAATTTTGCATTCATTTAAGCAATGACAAAATGGAAAATTATAGCAGGAATTCTGAGTTGAGCAGTTTTTCTCTGGGTCATATAGACTAGACCAGAGCTGTCCAACCTGTGCCTGGGAACCACCTGTGGCCTTCAAGGCTCTAAATTGTGGTCTTTGATTGCAAAATGCATTAAGAAGATTTGTATTGATTACAAATTGTACCTTGGGACTATGGCCTGTGATTATTAAACTGAAGTGTTTGAATCAGCCCTGTTGCTATGGGGAGAAGATGAGGCAATGCCTCTACTATAGCTCTGACGTGACAGAGAGTATTCTGAGTAACTGCAACTGCTCAAGAGCTCATTCACTAGTTGCCTGTTGTGTTTCAGAGGGGAAATGAGAGAGTAGTTCTTTCCTGCAGACTTGTGAGCAGGATAGGAACTCAACTGGCTCTGCTTGACCTAGGGAAGTGCCTAGCAGAGGATGGCTCCACTCCTCCACATGGCTACCCAGTGTAGCCCAAGTGAGGCGGAAGACAAGAGAAGCTGAGAACCAGTCACGCATTGCATCTCACTTATTTTTTGGCACATAAAAGGCCTGAGGGCTGCTCTAACTTGTCAGCTGGCTACCAAGCGACTTGGCTATTGAGGGACTATGTGCCAGCAGGAGATAGTTGGAATACATCATGCACTTGCCTCACATTCTCCACGTCTCTTACCACCCGCTCCATGCACGTACTTTGCAAATATTGCAGGGAAAGAGGCATAGGAGCTGAACATGTCAACCCTGTGCCTGTTAGAGATGCATCTCTGCCTCTCCCAGTGGTATCCCTAATAGGGGATTTGCATGTGGTTGGGTTTTTTGTTTGTTTGTTTGTTTGTTTGTTTTACACTCCTTTTCTGCCACCTGAGTGGCCCTAGGGAGCAAAAAAGGGCAGGGAATCTGTCCTAAAGTACTGATTTGTGGCCACCTATATGTTTGGCACTCAGGCTGAAAAAGTTGGGCATAACTGGTCTAGTCCTTAGCCAATCAGATTATTCTTTCAGCCCTGCCCAATTAAAAAATAATCCATAGTAGACTTCAGCAAAGAGTTAAAGTTTAAAATCATTCATATTGGGGAAAAAAATTGTGCAAATCAATTTGGTCAAAAACAAAATTTCAATCAAGGAGATCTGGCACAAAATATTGTTTTGGATGAGAACAGTGGCCCAAATTCTGTCTTCAGAGTTTTATCAAAAGTTCATTGAAGTCACCATAAGTCTTTCCATTAATTTCAATGGGCTTTGGATTAAGCCCATGCTCCTTAATTGCACCCATGCAACCCCATTGACATTACTTCTAATGTTTATTTATTAGCTTTAGTGGGGTTACATGAGTTTAATTGACTTCAGTGGAAGATGCTGGGTGCTTAGCATTTGTGAAAATCGTGCCACTAATTTAGACACCTAAATATGGACTTAGAAAACTAGTATTAGGTACTCATTTTAAAAAATCTTGGACAGGTAAGCAAGTATGTGGAAAGGTGTGTGTGTGTGTGTGTATGTGTGTATGTGTGTGGAAGAGAGGGGATATTGGGAACTGTTTTTAATTACAGCAGGCAAAACAGTCTGCCATAGTAGAAATGAAAAAAATAGAACCTATATTTTAAACTAAAATTGAGAGACAAGACTGGGTTTTTTTAGTCAACAAGTGTTATAATTTTATTTTTAAAATCACACAAATTTTAATGAGGTAAACTGCTTTCTTGTATCTGATGTTAGTATTTTTTCTTCAGTGGATATGGCATGATAACATGCAGTTTCTTCAAGACAAGAACATTTTTGAACATACATATTTTGGGTAAGTTTTGCTTTAAATACATATTATTTTGAGATGTTTTTACTTAATCCAGATGTTTAACATTTATTTTAACTAACAAAATATATTACTGACTTTAGGTTTATGTGGCAGTTGTGTAGTAGCATTCCAAGCACATTACCAGATCCAAAAGCAGTCTCCCTAATGACAGCAAAGGTAAAGTATCTTAACATCATAAAGCATTTCTTCTAAACGGAATATGTTTAAATGATAATTCTGGACACTGATTAACTGTATAACATTTTCTTGCAGTTAAGCACTTCCTTTGTTCTGGAGACATTTATCCATTCAAAAGAAAAGGTATGTTGGTTTCCTTGTAAATACATATTAAGTAATTGTATGTGAAATTCAGTGAAATTTGCCTGCCCCTCTGTGCTTTTATGTAAAAGGATATGGTTTTGAGTCATAATTTACCATATATACTCAATCATAAGCCGGTTCGTTTATAAGCCGACACCCCCCCCCCCCCCAAGATGGATAAGTAAAAATGGAAAATTTTTATGACCCGTTCATAAGCCAACCCTATAATTCAGAGGTCAGCAAACTTTGGCTCCCGGGCCATCAGGATAAGCTGCTGGCAGGCCGAGATGGTTTGTTTACCTCGAGCGTCCACAGGCACAAAGGTAAAAAGTAAACAAAGTGTCCCGGCGCACCAGATGCTTAACCTGATGGGCCAGGACAGCAACTGGTGGGGAAATTTGCGGGGGGGGGAGGGGAAGGAAGCTGGGGGTCAGGGGAGTAACCCCTGTGACCACCCCCCACATGACCTCACCCCTATAGCCCGGGACCCCCACACTCTCCCCACCCCATCCCTTCCCACCTTATCTGGGGCAGGCCAGGGGAGGATGTCTCTGGCCTGGCTGGAGCTGCAGACCGGGCGGCGCAGCCACAGCATGTTCCAGCGGGCTGGGCCGGCGTGCTCTGGCGGGCCAGGAGGCATGACCACAGCCTGCTCTGTGGGGGCGGGGCCGAGTGACACGGCTGCAGCCTGCCAGCCCCGGAGCTGCAGCTGCTTCAGAGGCTGGGGGGAGAGCAGCGTGGCCAGAAGCGGAGAGACTCTGGCCCCGCCTCTTCCCTTCTGGCTCTGCTTGCAGTGCTGCCTCTCCTTGCTCCCTCTGTTGGGGAGAGGGGCTGTGTCCCACTTCTCCCGTTCATAAGCCCGACCCCCTTCTGTGGCGCTTCCCTTTTTTACTAAAAAAAAAAATTGGCTTATGAACGAGTATATACGGTATACAGTAGTTCACTACAAAGAATGTTTACAGTTTCAGATTTCATAGTGCCCTCAAATGAAAAGCATAAAAATGGGTTTGTGCCCGTTTGCTTCTTTCTGCTGTAAATTTAAGGCTTGAAAAATTGTGTGTGATGGGGATGGGAAGTGTTGGGCTGGGTTGGATTGGTTTTTTTCCTTAGAAATGTCAGGACTGACAAATCTTGTATTCCCTTTTTGGTGGAAGAATTATTGTATGATTCAGAGATGTGAATTAGAATCTTTTTTTAGTCTCTAATCAAAGGGGCAGGGTGTTGAATCCTTAATAAAGAGAGTTGTGCTCGTAAGTGTTTTAGTTAAATAGATATGAACATAAACACAAAACAAAGAGTTTCAATCAGTCTGAATAGAAATCATTTTAACTCTCCATTGATTTACTTTCTTTGTATCTGTGATGTCAATTCTTCAGTCATCCAGGTTAGTCAAGACCTGTATTTCTAATATAAAAACAAGCAAGGGAAAAAAAACTTTAAAAGAAAATTTCAGACCTTTTTATATAACGCTATGTTCAAGAAGATTGTGTGCCAGGTACTTTGGTCCACCTGGACTGTGTTTGATGCAGAACTGTTGCAGTGGATTGAAGATCTGGCCACAACCTCGCATAAATTAGTGCAGCTTTAGTACTGCTGTAACTTATGCCTAAACCCCTTTGTTTTCCATTTAAACTGATTTTTACTGAAAAAAACACCCAGGTTTTATAAAAAGTATTATTCATTTTTTCCGATTTTCACCCTACTTTCGTATCATTCAGATATATAAAATACTATACATTGCATGAGGTATATATATTACAATAATATGTTAGTTTGTTTATATATGCAAAGCTGCCTGTTGAAGTAAGGCTATGTAGTAGTCTAGAAAAGGGGTTCCCAACCTTTTTCTTTCTGAGCTCCCCCCCCCGTGGCCCACCTGTGCCACAGCAATTGTTTTTCTGCATATCCAGTAGATTAAAAGCCGAGAGCCAGCATTAAGGGGTTGCAAGCAGGGCAATTGCCTGGGGCCCCAAACCTCCGGGAGCCCCAAACCTCAGGAAGCCTCATAAAGCTAAGTTGCTCAGGCTTTGGCTTCAGCCCTGCATGGTGGGGCTCAGGCTTCGACTTTCTGCCCTGGGCCCCAGTGAGTCTAATGCCAGCCTTGCTTTCTGATTTATTTTGGAGGATCCTCTGAAACCTGTTCACAGTCCCCCAGGTTGAGAATCTCTGGTCTAAAAGATGCACACAATAAACAAATAGGCACACACGCAAGCCCTGAAGTGCATGTGCATCTCAACATATTGACAAATCTCACGCCCACCACGTACACATTTCAAGCTGTTAGCAGATAACAGTTTAGAGATCGGACACACTAAAATGGGAAGAAAACGAAAATCTGTATCAAAATATGTTTCAGAACATATGGAAGTATTCGAAAGTTTAAAAATAAAACAGAGGAGAAAAGGATGAAGTTGAGTGTATGCACTGCAAATGGTGTGGTCCAATTATTAAATGTAAATATTTATAGGCTAATAGTTCTTGTCTACAACAGTAAACTGTTTATTCAAATGAAAAGTTTTGTTTGGGGATTAGAGATATATTGTTTTCTTAGACCCAGAGGGGCATTGTGTTTTGAGTTCTGTTTTAGTTCTGCAGCAAACCACATTGAATGCCATTCATCAAAGCATTAATCTATTGAATCCTTTCCCCTGTCCTTCCATCCACCAAAATAAACCTCAGTATTTACCCATAAAAATTATTCATCGTTTTTTCCACCAATTTCCACCTGTTTTTGTTGTTGTAGTAATAAACACCGATAAATCCCTGGGGGAAATTAAATATAAAACAAAACAAAAGGCCCTACTTATGCCCAAGCTACCCACAGCTCCAGGAGTTCTTCCAGCACCTGGCTATCAGTCAGATGCAGAGGCATCCTCGCCACAGTTTTTTTCACCTGGCTATCCCAGTTATGCCAGGGAAAGCTAAGAGTAGTGTAGGAACTCCTATGACAACCATACATCACTGGAAAAATCTCCCATGCCAGGGGAATTCTCAAATGCCTGGTTCCTCCATGTTTAAAGCTGTTTTGTTTCAGCATACCAACGCAAATAGTAGCAGCAGGACCTAGGTCTGTGGATTTAAGCTGCTCCACAACAATATTTGGACTCATTTTTCAAATGCTAACATTGTAATGGAGTGTGAGAGGTTACAGATACCACCTTTCGTTAGATAAGGGGTTGCCTATCTCTGGTGGCTGTGGCATTTTTTGAAAAGAGCAAAGGAAAAACTCAATGTCTTGTTTAGCTCATCATCTCTAATGAAATGTTTCTCATAACTGAAGCTGTTGTGAGCTAATGCTGAAATGTGTTATGGGCTTGATCCTGCAAGGTGCCCAGCATTCTGGCCCTGATCCAGTAAAGCACTTAAGCATGTGCTTAACATTAGGAGTTAAGTGGGATTACTTCTGTCAGTAAAGCAAACAGGATTTGGCCCCCATCTCATTTTCTTTATTAGTATTTATTGGTAATAGGTGTTAATTTGTATATATATAGTTTATGTGTGTGTGTATGTGTGTATATATATATATATATGTATGTATATTCCCACAGAAATCTAGTAATGAAATAGGATTGCTAATGTAGTTACATGAAGCAGAGCTGTGACAAAGCCTTCTGCTAGCTCCTCAGATATTATTAAATATAAATAATAGCATATAAAATAATTTTCACCTCTCCTTTTTTCACTGAATGATGAACTTTAATGGCAAGATTGAGTCTTTAGGCTCACCCTTTAGTATTAGACTGTGCTTAGCTGCCTTTCCTCAGGCTCTGAGAGTCATTTCTTGCCCTGCTTCTCTATTGTCCTGAAGAAGAAGTAAACTACTTCACTCATGTGGTTTATGTGAGGGAGGAAGACAGAGCTAGGGCGCCCCCCACTCCTTGTCCATCCCCCAGCTTACTTATAAGGTATGGTTGGGGGTGGGGGGCACCTTTAAGTGTATAACCCCTGCTCTTCTCCTTGCACCCAGAGCCACAATTGAGGCATCTCTTATGCAACCAAGTGGGTGTCTGTACTTCCCCCTACATTCCTGCATGGCTGTGTTAGATCTAGATATAATCTAGTCCAAAATTAGGAAGTAAAAAAAAATATATTCAATAAATTAAAGCTCTTTACTTATCAGCAGTTTCACCTTCTTTAAACTCTTCATACACTTCAGTACAAGAATGTAGCATGTACACCATGGAGAACTAATGTGGACTTGTTTGTTACTTAAAAATTAGCTAATTTTTTTTTTTACCACCAAACACCTAATCTCACTTTCAAACTAAAATCAGTTTCTGATTCTTAAAATGATACAAAATATTATTTCCACATAATTAACTGAAAACCCTTGATATGCCTTTAGTTTTGGGATCATGTTGAGAATTAATATATTTTGGCAATTAAAATAGTGTTGTTTGCAGTGTGGTCTCCCTAATATAGTTGAGTTACAACTGTTGGTATTTGGAGTCAATGGATTTTAACATAAACATGGATTATGATTTCTTCTAAGAGTGCAGGAGGAGGATCAACAATACTTGGGAAAGATTTTTTTAGAATGTAATTAATATCAAATCAGTTTAAATGTGAAAAATGCAGTTGCCTGGATAGTGACTACACAGTGTGTAGTATTTAGTTCAATCTCCAAAATATGTATTACTTTTTTGTTAAGAAATTTATTTCAGTTTCATTAAACATTTTAATGGATTGTAATTGCATATGTTCTTAAGCCTAAATATATTAACTGGTTGTGTAGAAACTTAAGATTAAGTTGGAATTTGATCTTAAAATCTTTTTTCCTATTTCTCTTTAGCCCACAATGCTTCAGTGGATTGAACTGTTAACAAAACAGTTTAATAACAGTCAGGCAGCTTGTGAGGTGAGATAAATAATGAGGTGTTGAACAAGGTAAAAAAGTAAAAAACAACTTTATATAAAGAATTTTGCATTTTTAGGGGTTAGCATCACTAGGTATTTTGGAGTATTTGAACATACGTGTACTAAGAGGTGGAATTCCTCCCTTGTGCAAAGCCTAAACTTTGTATGGAAAATGCTGCAGGGACTAAGGGGATGACATTGCTGCCCCTTCTGATGAGCCTGTAGGCAGGCCATAAGGCGAAACGCTTTCATGACTGTAGTAGTAGACATAGCTGTCTACACCCTCTTGGGCTGACTGTTTAATATTGATAGGTTTTGGCAGAGGGGTTTAAGTGGCGTGAGGTTGGTCACTTGGCACAGTAGGCATTGGAAGGGACTTTCATGCGTAAGGCACAGCATGGAAGAAGGCATGAAAACAAGGGAAAGGAAACAAAAGGAGCAGTGACATAGGAGGCTGGGGTGGAGTGAAGAGAGTAAGAAGAGGTAAGAGTAGAGAGATAGGCAAGAGCAAACTCAAACAGAGCCTTGCTGGTGAAGATGAGGGACTTGAACTTGATGTGGAGGGCAAAGGAAAGCCTGTGAAAGGATGAGAAGAATGGAGTGACATGGTAGGAGTTTTGTGGGAGGAAGATGATTTTAGCATTAATATTTTTGTAGAGACAAATGGGAGCATGGGGGGAAGCCAGGAGAAAGAGGTTGCAGTCTGAAGATGAAGGCATGTCCGAAGAATGTTGCCATATGGATGGAAAGGACAGAATTTTGAGATACCGAAGAGGAAAAATTGACAGAATTTGGTCTTAATCTGAATATTCAAGGAGAAGAGGAGAGTCCAAAATGACATTGAGATTGCAAGTCTTAATGACAGAAACTTCCTGTTACTGCATAATGTTATAGTTTCAGCCATAATTAACATCCTGCAATAGATGTTATCTAATATACACCTCTACCTCGATATAACGCTGTCTTCGAGAGCCAAAAAATCTTACCGTGTTATAGGTGAAACTGCATTATATTGAACTTGCTTTGATCCACCGGAGTGCGCAGCTCCGCCCCCCCGGAGCACTGCTTTACCATGTTATATCAGGTCGCGCTATATCGAGGTAGGGGTGTATATGCATTAATTACAGTGTTTGTTTTCAAATACAATCTTCAGATTGTTAAATTGATATTTAACATTCAATAATCTGGTGACACAAATTCATCACTGTGGTTTGAGAATAAAACACCAAAAACAAGTTAAGTGAAGGACCCTAGAAATAGAACATGCTAAAATACTATTAAACCAAGAAAAAAAATAAGAACCTGAATTGTTCATTCTAAAGTGGCAACATTGTCTAATGAATGGAGCATAGGTCTGAGTCAGGAGGCCTCAGTTCTACTCCCAACTGCCTTTCACCTCCTGACTTTGGCAGATCATTTAATCTCACGGAGACTAATTTTCTCCAAATGTAAAATAGAGATGATAATGCTTACACACCTTTGAAAAGCATTTACGGCCCTGATTCAGGAATCACCTAAGCATCTCTCTTCTGCAAAGCACTTTAGTATGTACTTAATCTTAAATACGTACTTAAGTCTCTCTGACTTTGATGGGATTTAATTGCATATTTAAGGTTAACCACATCCTTAAGCACCCTTCTGAAACAGGGATAGCTTCTCTGAATCCAGGCCTTGGAGATCCTGGGATGAAGGGTATTAAACATATTACATGCAAACTCGTACGTATAGTTACTATTTTCCCTCTTCCCCAGGGACAAAGGATTTTCAGATTTCTCTTGGACTTACGTTTTCTGTTTTAATAATAATAATTAATAATAATCCTCTGAATTTTAATAGCATATTAAAGGATGACTGTAAGAAAAATTAATATAACTATTAATTTGAAATGTACAATAAAGAGCATATAATATGTATTTTTATGCAGTGGTTTTTGGATCGGATGGCTGATGATGATTGGTGGCCAATGCAGATTCTAATCAAGTGTCCCAATCAAATTGTGAGGCAGGTAAGAAAAAATATGATTTTATACAAAAAAACACCTATTTGATCCCTAAGCAGAAACGGTTTATTTTTACTAATTGTACAATAATATTGGCAATTCACATTACTGCACATAACTCTCATTTCCTGCTTCACCTGTATTTGATTTGTGAAGTTTATCTGGCTATGCAAACATTATATTATTCATAGCAAAATCCTACACAGAGTCTTGGAATTTAAGGCCAGAAGGGACTACAAGATCATCTAGTCTGATTTCCTGTATGTCACAGGCCACTAACATCACCCAGCACCCATACTATAACTCCCCACCCGAAATTAGACCAAAATATAACAGCCCAAAGGAGACTAGACTATTATGTGCCACAGATGGATAGTAGGGGGAACCAAGGTGCACCAGTGCTTGAGACCCTGCAGTAGTAGGGCAATAATTAAGTGATATATACTCAGATAATCCTGGCATGTGACCCGCACCCACTCACTGCAGAGAAAGGTGAAAATCTGCCAATACAACCTGGGGGAAAATTCTTTCCCAACCCCACATATGGCAATCAGTTATACCCTGAGTGTGTGAGCAAGAACCAGCCAGTCTTTAATGCAGTGTTATGGTTCACGGTCAAAATCACTAAGTCAGAAAGGGTATAATTTAAGATTCTTGCAACACCAACATAAATTCAGCCAAACTGCATATTTGTTTATATTAACTTATATTTTGTAACATAAAAAATGACATAGTGATCTGCACACTTAACCAGAGAAACAGGAATAGAAAATAATACATACAGTAAGTACAACACTCCCAAGTCAATACTGCTGTTAAAACCTTAACTTCTGCATTTTCTGTTTTTTGTGTGCTATTTTAACTGTGAAACATTTTCATTAACATAATATTTTAATTTAATTTCCTTTTCTGTAAAAATCATGAAAGTGAAAAAGCTATCTGTACTTAATGTCAGTATTTGAATATTCACAGTTACTTTAAGTTCATACCTCACTAAGGTGGGAATGAGGTAGAACTAATCTGTTTGACTTCTGCTGCCTAGCTGAAGGCATTTTTTTTATTAGCTTACTGTATATACTTGTTCATTAGCCCATTCGTTTATGAGCCGACCCCCCAGGATGGTTAGGTAAAAATAGCAAAAACTGTATAACCCTTTCATAAGCCGACCCTATATTTCAGGGTTTGGCAAACTTTGGCTCCCGGCTGTCAGGGTAAGCCGCTGGCGGGACATTTTGTTTACTTGGAGTGTCTGCAGGCATGGAGTCCCTCAGCTCCCTGCGGCCGTGGTTTGCTGTTCCAGCCAATGGGAGCTGCGGGAAGTGGCGCGCCATTTCCCGCAGCTCTCATTGGCTGGGAATGGCCAATCGTGGCCACAGGTTGCTTAGGGGCTCCATGCCTGCAGACGCTCCAGGTAAACAAAACGGCAATGTATTAGATATTCAAATCAATGATTCCATAGAGTTTAAAATCATCAAATTTTGGTGTAGACCCATTTATAAGCCGACCCCCATTCTTTGATGCGTCACGCTTTTACCAAAAATATGAACAAGTATATACACTATATCTTGCATCAGAAAGAGATATGAGTAGTCCCATTGACAGCTTGCTTAGCTAGAATCTGCAAGATTCGGTACTTGAATTTTATAATTTGCAAAATATAGCAAAATGTATCAATAAAACCCCAAAATCATAAGTCATTGTTTATCTCACTCCCACAGTTTACCTTTTTCTGGTATTAAGATGATTTTTTGGAGGATTTTGCTGCGTATGCCTCTTTTGGTCAGGTCAGGTGGGGTGGATACTATGGTAATAGTTGCAGTGTAAAAGCATAACTCATTAAATATGCAGCAGTGTCACAATGGGAGTTGTGCTGTATTAGGTTCGCTTAAATTTTAGGCAAATGTGCTAGTTCTTAGTGAATGCAATGTATATTTCAAATTTCAGCCATTTTTTGATATAGATGTGCTTAAAAAAAGTTTAATTAGAATTATTGTACAATGAGATAAATTTACGCACAGCCAGAGACAGAGTATGCAAAATGTCAGGCAAAAAGTAAATAATGACTATGTAGGAACAGGAAATAATGGAAACTATTGTGTAACCTTTATGACAAGCACTGTCAGGTGCCCATTTCATTATAATACAAAATATACTAATAGTAGGACCATATCTAGGTTCCAGCCATGAGGTGTGTTCATTAAAATCAGGTTTGACTGTCATATTAGAGTTTGATACTGCAACATTACAGCAAATAGAATATGGTCATCTTAATCTTGACTATAATTTTGAAACATGTAGTATTGGGAAACACGGTTTTTGGAACCTGAATATGCTTTACTATAAAAACACACACTCACACATACTTAAAAAGTGAACAAAAAAAAGTCTATTTTATAACGTATCCTTTTGCAGATGTTCCAGCGCTTGTGTATTCATGTGATACAGAGACTGAGGCCAGTGCATGCACATCTGTATCTGCAACCAGGAATGGAAGACTGGTAAAATATTTGCACCTGCAACCTTTTTTTATTTGTAATTAAATGTGCTACAACTGTGTCAAAGATTTGCTTATTAAATTATCCTAAATTATCCTGTAAGCATGAAACAAACAGCAGAGATGTAGGAGCAGGAGCAATTACAGACAAAGTGAAAGCCACTTGGCAACAAACACCGCCCAGAACCTACCTGGCCCTGGATGCTGGTATGGCTGATTGATGATGTTGGATGCCCCACTGGGCTTGTGGGATGTCTCTCCCTTCGTGGGGCTCGGATGCATCCTGGGGCTCCCCTCTGACCTTTCAGCTCCACTGAAAAAATATCAGTCCCCTCCCTGCCACTTGTGGCACCAAAAAGAGACACTAACACAGCAGTTAGAATAGATCTGTCATCCTCCTGATCCGTTCTTATATGTTTGGATAGCAGTGACATAGTTAACGATATCGACATTTTAAATTACCATCTTTGGGGATCAGAATTAACATTCTCAATTCGGATTAATGGAACAGTTCATACCCCTGTGGGCTGTTGTTTTAGGCTCTTTGCAGATTCAGGCAGTAATCGCTGTATCTGTTCATATTCATTTCACATTTTCTGGATTTTCTCAGCAGAGCTACAGACATTCCTTTAAATGAAATCTGAGATTTTAAAGAAAAAGATGGCAGCCTCAAGAAATAGTGTCAGTTCTCTGACCCAGCATGACCCAGCCCAGTGTGAATTCTGGTCTTTTTCCCTCAGTAGAGTCAGAGAAATTCCTTCACCATGGGGGCAAATGCCATCACATGTTCCTTTTGCGATGTGTGAAAGTTCTTGACCTTTCGTCTTGCTGGTGGAGTGGGAATGTGAAGATCAGACCCCATGCGGTACTGGTGAAGATTCTGCTATAATCTCTCTCTCCTCTGCAAGGTTCTGAATTTTTACCACCACATTTTGCCTTACCAAAGGGTGGTGATGCTTAAAATTTCAGCATTAGAGTTGAAAGATAGCAGCATCCATACTCTACTGCTTCTAAAAGACCTCATTAAGACAAGGTTGCTGCAAGAAGGATAAGGAAACCTGGTGCCTCAAACAGTGTCATATAGGTGCGGAAAGCCACTTCCTCTTCTTCTTCGAGTGAGTTCTCATGTGTATTCCATAATAGGTGTGCCTGCTCGCCACGTGCACCGGTGCCGGAAGTTTTCCCCCTAGCAGTACCCGTAGGGAAGCACCCCAGCAACCCCTGGAGCAATATAAGGGGCGCTGCGCGCTCCCCCCACCCTCAGTTCCTCCTTGCCACCAGTGAAGGTGCTTTGGAACTGCTCTGCTCCAGCTTTGCTGTAGCTCGTCCCCAAAACTGCTTGTTCATTCAGTGTATGGTACCTGTAGTTAGTTAGTTTAGTTTAGCTAGAGCACCCGGACTGGGGCATGCCCCGTGCCCCAGGTTTAAGTCGTGCAACACTTGTATGCGTTTTATGCCACTGAGTGATCCACACGCGGACTGTCTGCCCTGTTTGGGGGAAACCCATCTCAGGGATCCCTGCAAGATTTGCAAGTTGTTTGTGCTTCGGACCAAGAGAGAAAGGGACATTAGGCTCCTGGCTATTCTGATGGAGTCGGCGCTGACCCCGGCTCTGGCGCGCCCCTCTGAGTCAGCACCGGGAACTGAGGTGTCGGTGCGCGGCGACCCTTCGGCGCCATTGACTAGTCCGCACCACTCCCCGTCCACAGGGAACGCCAAGAAGGCTAGAAAGAGGCCTTCTTCGCCGCGGCACTGGAGTAAACCTGGGACAGAGGCTAGACCCATGTCGGGCAGTCCTTGATCCCCACTGGCCACTAGGCCTCCAACTCAAGTCGAGCTGAGAAGCCCAGCCCATTCAGAGCAGGCCTGCCCGGATGCCCTCCACGCTGGAGGCCCTGGAGGCAGCCTGGGATGTTATGTCTATGCTGGTACCTGGGGTACCGCTGATGTTGGCCCCGCGATCCAGAGGCAAGCCGCCACTGCGATCTCTGCAGTCGCCTCCAGCTCAGTACTAGTCTCGGTCGAGGGAATGTTCCCGACGCTGTTCGCCGCCCAGCGACCGTTCAGGACAAAGTCCACGTGGATTGCCCTCAACGCCCACCAAGCTGTCTGGTTGGGTTCCATCTGACCGAGACTCTCGGCACCACTCTGCCCCGAGGAGCGAACACCGACGGGACTGAGGCAGATGTCACCAAAGGTCCTTGTCTCAGAGGAGTTATTGTAGCCGGTCATGGCATGGACGTCAATGTCGTTCCCGTTCGGTGTCCCGCTCCAGGACCCTGCCATGGCACTGCCTCAGCAGCCCCGGGCATCAATCGCCGGTGTCTCACCGTCGTGGGTCCGCTCGCTGGAGCTGATCGCCAAGCAGCTGTTACCGACGGTACCAGTCCACCACGTTGGGATGGCGGTCCTGTGGTCAGCACCATTTCCGGTGCCGCTGCTCTTCCCGGTCCGGGGACAGCGGCAGGTCGTATGTCAGCCCAGCCTCCCTTTGTAGTCGTCCATCGATGGGCCAGGCCAGCCAGGCCTAACAGCCGGCCCCGCCAGTGCCACAGAGCCTCAGAAGGACCATCGGCCTCCCTCTCTGGACCTCCGAAGAAGGAGTTGGTGGGACGTACATCCTCGGCACCGTGCCTGGAGACCGCTCAGGTGGTGGATCTTCCGGTGCCAGTGGCCACCCAAAGTACCGCGCCGGCTTCCTCATCCTCCCCGGATGAGGCAATTACAGCCCCATCTCCCTCCGTTCCGCAGGAGGACTTTAGGGCCCACCAAGAACTCTTAAAAAGACTGGCATCAAGCCTCCACCTCCAAGCAGAGGAGATGGAGGAGCCCTCAGATTCGCTGTT